GGGCGGGGCCGGTACCTGGTTGACCGCGGCGTGCTCCCTCAGCGCCAAGTCCCAAAAGCAGCAGCCTATCTGATTTCCGCACTGGCCCACTGCGATCAAGGAGACGAAGGAAAGAGAGTGGCCGTTAGGTGGCACACAAGGCCGCTCGGCTCCGCGCCGACGGGGTCCCCACCCTCCCCGCGCCGCTTACCCTGTACGACCACCGACTGGGTCATGCTGCAGGGAGGCCAGCCCAGGGAACGCGGGAGCCCGCACCGCCCTTCGGGTTCCCCGGGCCCAATAACGGCGCTCTCCGAAGGGGTCCGGACAGCCGTAAGTCACGCCGCTGCCGCAAGTCGCTGACGTCGCTACGCTCTCCTCTAGGGTCAAGCCAAGATTTTCCGTCAGAAGGCGGTGCAAGTGCATCGGCGTCTCACCGTTACCATAGCGACTGCCCCTCCCTCCCCGGACTGCAGATCCTTGCTGCGTTGTCAACATCTTTTAGCACCAGCAGCTCCAAAGGTCGGGGGAACTGGCGGGTAACTAAGTTTTGGAGTGGGATTTAAAAACATGTGTCTGTAAAACTGTTAATGGACCCTCAGAGGTTGTCTTCGTTCGCAACCTCAGCACCCTAGTTGGTGGGTCAAATTCCGTTTATTCAGGTTCCTCGGGACGCTGCGCTAGTGTCTCTATCCAACAAGCCCTTTGTTCTAATAGAAAGCGAAGAGTGTCGAGGAGCACAGAGAAACCTCAGACCAATAGGCGTGGTGTAGGGTACAGCTGAAACTAGGTGGTTATACACTTTGACAAAAAAGGCGCTTCAGAGACCCAACCAGTGTTTGTCGAAGCTGTATGCTGCCAACATTAACTTCCAGGCCTCCTGGAGGATTCAAAAAAATTAAGACATAGATCCCCAGCTCCAAGAAGCTTACAATTTAATTGAAGATATACACGAAATACTCAACTTTTTGTGACTTAAAATATTGTGTGGTGCTGAGTGTAAGTGCAATAGGATTCAGTGGGTGAGGATGTAAATGAGTAAAAAAAAGCCTAATGAAAGAGGTGTAATTAAAACTAGGCATTTGATTTATATTCAGTGTTTAGATGGAAGAAAGGAGGAAAAGATTGAAAAATCAGGCATTCCTGAAAATTACCATCTTCTTAAAACTGTCAAACATTGAAAAATACTGTAAACTCTTATTGATCAATTTATACCAGATTTCAATTAAGAACTCAAGCACTTCTTTACTGAAATTAATGTTTTCCACAAAAATTCTGAGGAACTACAAAATCTTAGGAAGGCTTCTCTATTAAAAAAACAGTTAAATTATATATGCAATTAATGCGTGGTAATAGGAGCTGTAATTTTTAATTGATTGCAATACCTCATTCCCCCACCAAGACAAATAATAGCTGTTACTACATTTTTCTAATGGCTGGTAAGTTTGAAATTGCAGTAGGTGGTTCATGGTGCTGAGGCTGTCCCACGTTTCCATTTGGATGTTTTTCACTGTAGTGCTTATATCCCTTGTGATTAATAGATACCTTTAATCATTTATTTTGCAGTTGCTGGATTTTACGTTTAACTGCTTGTTAGTGAGCATGGAAGTCAGTGGTGGGGGTGTAGTTAGACACCTACAGCATTTCACTTCAGGGCCTGATGTTGAAGCCTCCAAGTCTGGAACTTCCAAAATTTGCAAAGCTTGGTCCAGTTCGTGATGTTTGTAGGTCTGCGTCGATGAACTGTGGTTCCAGCTCCTCTGATATTCTGGCCTCTGCAGAGCGAAACGCCTCATGTAGTGGTTCGGTTCCAGTCTTTATTCCCCAGAGGTCGTACAAGGGAACAAAGTCAAATTAAGGAAGTCCTAACAAGTCTCATTTATAACTTCATTCTGGAGAGAATAAGACTGAGAGGCAATTCTGCTTAAGAGTCAAGGTAGAACCTTACATGCCACTACTTCAGGACTTCAGTAGAAGCAGAAAAACTTTTTAGAGTTTCTAATTTCCAGGAGTCCACTTTGAAGTCATGAATTTGAACATATCCTGGAGTTCAATACATTCCTAATTAGATGGACTGAAACCTCTTTTTAAAATATTCGACAAACTCTCAGAAAAATAAGCAGAAGCCAAGCAATCCTGGAAAGCTACACACGGCTCTAGTGGAATGCTCTCTAATACAACTCCTCTGATATAAACACAAGGAAAAAGAAAATATAACTTACATTTCACACTCTAGCTGTAAGTAGAAGAACAGGTTTCAGATAAGTAGAAGTCAAGGAGAATTTACCCACACAATAGCAGAGTATGGTAGATTGGATTGTGTTCTAATTCTTCTCCCTCTCACTCGCTTCCTCTGCACATGACTGTGCAGTGCCTTCTGCTATAGTAGAGTAGGTAGAGTATACATCTTTCCCCCATTGACTCTGGGCTTGGTCATGTGGCCTTTTCGGGCTAATGGAATGATGTCAGGTATGAAACTAGCAGGGGTTTTAGAAGTACTTTCATGCCTTGCCTCTTGGACTTTGCTATTTTTCCTAAGAAAAACTGATTCAAGTGGCTGCTGTTTCTAAAATGATGAAGACATGTGAATCGTATCTGAATCTGAATCTCAATTAAAATGTGGAGTCCTGATTCTAGACAAACCTAGGTGAGACAAGTGAGGGTCAGCTGAATAGCAGGCTATCCATACTCTTATGAGCAAGAAAAATATTTTTGGATGAAGCTGTGAGATTTTGGGGGTGAGTAGTATTGTAGGAATAGCTGACTGAAACACCAAACAGAGAATGGGCAAACAAAGAGAAATTTAACATATTTCTCATGTTAAATATGAGAAAGAGAAAAGAAAAACATTGAGAATTGTACAGACTACTACTGTAAAAGAAAGGAAAGAAAGAAGGAAGAAAAGGGGAAGGAAACTAGCATGTGAAAGATGATAAAAAGTACATGAGCTGGATGAAATCTAACCTAGTGGGAAAATAGAAAATTTATCATACTTTCTTTGTGCTTTAGAGGAACTTAATAATGAGATATGAATTTAATAATACAGGGACTCAAAGAAAAGATGCTAACATAGTGTACTGAGAGGTAAGCTCTATGAGGGCCAAGTCTTGTCTGTTTTGTTCACTATTATAGCCCTACTACCTAGAACCTTGCCTAGTATACTATAGGTAGTCAATAAATACTTGATGAATAAATGAACTAAAATGGAGATAAAAGATCAAAGGGAATTAATGGAATATCAAAACACCTTAAAGGACTAATGAATCATTTTAGAAGCATGAAGAAGCAGATTAGAGTTCTGAAATTCAAATTACTGATGTAGAGGAAAGGTATGAGAATATAAAAGAAAATGCAGAAGCAAAGGACAAAGGTATTAAGCCTCTTAGAAGATATCATATATGAAAGAGACAAATGTAGTTCAGTGTAAGATTAATAAGTGCCCCTGAAATAGAGGACAGAGCAAAGAGAAGAATAAATCTCCTTACTGATAGAAAAAATAATAAAAGAAGAAAAATCTGTAGGTTAAAAGGATATATTGTGTTCCATGGAAAAATTGTGTAGAACAGTCAATACTAAGGTATATATTCTGGTTAAGTTATTGAATTTTCAGAATAAAGAAATAATTCTTTAGGTGCACGGCCAAAAAAAAAAATCAAAAAGGAGGGTGGGCATGTAGAAAAAGCAGGCTCTTTTAGACTTTTCATCTATAGCACATTCAGTACTAGAATATATGAAAAAATGTTACAAAGTTCTGAATGGGATTAAAATGTTTCCCAAGAGAGTTATACACTTAAAGCTTTTCAAGTTGTCATTAGAATATAATTCGAATTTGTGGGTACTCTATCCATTTTTATTGCTGCTTGCACACTGCACTTTTGAGCCCATCTCTTTTACATGTAACTTGACAAACACAGCCAACAGCCACCAACATGTTATTAACATTCTGTCTTCCAACCTCTTCACCTAGCATTCAAGTTCATTAGTAAATCATCTGCCTTCTAGGTTATCACAGAGTTTTCCAAAGGTTTTTCTAACAGGTTTGCCACTGGATAACATAGAAAACTATCCTTTCACCTTCCAGGAACAATTTCCTTGTCACTTGCTGCTTGCCCACTTGCTAGTGACTTATATTGGGTTGTCAGCAAAGTCATGATGCATTTTTGCAATGAAAAACATAGAAAAAAATACATCATGACTTTTCCAACAACCCAATATTTTAGGTTTATGTTATGGCAGTACCTAAGTATGGACCTAAGTCTGTATAAGTCAGGATAAATTTTGTTATGCTGTGGCAACAACGACTCTCCAAATCTCAGTGGTGTAAAACAACAAATGTTTATTTTTTGCACATGATACATGTCCATTGGGGGTGTCTGGTGGCTATACTTTATATTATCCTCACTCTAGCACCTAAGTTGCTGAACTACCACTATTTGGTACGTTCCTGGTTTTTGTGACCGAAAGACAACTCAGGAGGATCTTGCACATCATTTAATGACTGCTGTTAACTCATTGGCCCAAACTAGTCACATGGGCTCCAAATAATCATAAGGGAGCCAAGAATTGTAATTTCTGCAAGACACAAAGCCAGAAATATTTGGTGAACATTGTAAATAACATCACAAGCATTCTCAGATATGATATCAGAATACAGCCTCCGTGGTAAGCAGCCTCTAAGGTGCCACCCAATGACCTCTGCCTCCTATTTTTGTGTAATGTCCCCCACTTCTCGTGAGTCTGGGCTGGACCTAGTGACCTCTTTAAAATGAATAGAGCCTAAACACAACCCTGCAGCCACCCTGAGTTTGGAATTCTGGGGGACCAAGGCAGCTAGAATTTGCAGGGTAGAGTGCCAGAGAGGAGTGTGTACAGAGAAAGTTATGGAGATATTCAGTGGATTCCTCATGAGCCTTAAACTGAGTACCAATTAGTAAAATTGTGTGCATACTACTCAAGACTGAGGAAAGAATGACTCTAAAGAAGCAGGCAGAACAATTCCTGGGGTTCACACAGGGCTGGGACTAGGTCACATTCCCAATATCTTAAGTGGAGGAACCTTGTAAATATATGGGGGGCATTAAGTCAAATACACAGAAGGGTATTGCCTCAATAGTGGAGACAAATTAGCCATAGATGATAACCTAAGAAAGCATATAATCAACTCTCCAAAGAACCAAGCTGTTTCCAAATAACTGTGTCGCAGAAAAAAATAAGAAAGTACTTAGAGGACTAAATATAAAATCCAGCATTCAACAATGTGAAATTTACAATGACTATCATCAAATCAGTAATTGCAAGATATGCAGAAATGTAGAAAAATACACTCCATAATGAGATGAAAAATCAGTCAGTAAAAACAAACCAAGAAATTGCACAAATGAAAGAATTAATAGACAAGGACATTAAAACAACTTATAAATATACTCTTTATATTTCAAGAAGTCAGAAGGAAAGATAAACAGGTTAAGAAGAGACACAGATTAGACTTCTAGAGATAAAAAATACAATGTCTGAGATGAAAAGTACACTGGATGAAATTAAGAGTGGATTAGACATTGTGAAAGAAAAGAGTAGATAAAGACATAGCAATGGAAACTATCCAAAATAAAACAGAGAACAAAAACAAACAATAAAAATGAGGTTCAGTGAGCTGTGGGCCAGCGTCAAGCAGCTTTGTATACATTTAATTGGATTTCTAGAAGGAGGAAACAAGAAATACTTGAAAAAATCGTGGCTGGAAAGTTTCCAAGTGTGATAAAGATGATGAGCCCACAGCTTCAAGAAGCTCAATACACCTTTAAACATAGGAAACAGGAAGAAAACTACACCAAGCACATTATAATAAAATTGTTTAATGTCAGCGATAAAGAGAAAATACTAAAATTACCCAGAAAAAAAGAGACAAACTACATATAGAGGAACAAAGATAAGAATAATAGCAGACTTTCTCGTTGGAAACAATGCAAGCCAGAAAACAGTGGAGCAAAATCTTTAAAGTACTTAACATGAAACAAAACTGTCAATTTAGAATTGTATACCCCAAAAAAAATATTGCTAAAAAGTTAAGATGAAGTAAAAAACACACAAAGTCTGAATGAATTAATCACCAGGAGATCAGCACTGTTAATAAAAACCTTCAGATAAAAAGTAAAATGATGTTGAATGGAAACCTGGACCTATGTAAGGGAATGAAGAGAACTGAACATGATAAATATGTGGGTAAATCTAAAAGACTTCTAATGCTTTTTATTTTATTTTTTTATTTTTTATTTTTTTTGGTCCATGTATTTTATTGTTCATAGGTTATATCTCTTTATTTTATTTTATTTTATTTATTATTTTTTTATTGTTAGTTTCAGGTGTACAGAACAATGCAATAGTTACCCTTTTCACCCTCACAAAGTAACAACCCCCCTCCCCCCATCCAGTGCCCTCCCACCCCCCTCTAATGCTTTTTAAAATGTCTTTAAAAGACAATTGCTTAAAGAAATACTAATTTTGTGTTGTGGGGTTTATACTATCTGTAGAAGTAAAATATATAACAAAATAATACAGGGTGGGATAGGCGAAATGGAAAATAGCCTTGTAAGGTTCTTTAAGTATATATGAAGTGGTATAATGTTATTAAGGGAGACTGAAAAGTTAAAAATATATACTATAAACCTTAAAGAAATCAAAACCAAACCAAAACAAAGCAAAGCAAAGCACGAAGGTTGTATAGCACCAAACCAATAATGGAGATAAAATAAATTCATAAAATATACTCACTTGTTTCAAAAGAACAGGATAAAGAAAAAGGGAACAAAGAACTGATGGCACAAATGGAATACAAATGGCAAGAAGGCAGATTTAAATTCAACCATACATTAAATGTAAATAATAAAAACATTTGATTAAAAGTCAAAGATCATTAAAATAGATAAAAACAGCAAAACTCAACTATATATTGTTTATCAAAAAGCCAATTTTACTATAAAGATCTAATAGGTTAAAAGCAAAAAGATTGGAAAAGATACATTATACTAAAACTAATAAATAGAAAGTAGCTATATAAGTTTCAGACAAAGCAGATTTCAGAGCAGAGAATATTACTAGGAATAAAGGATATTTTATAATGATAAAGGTGTCAATTCATCAAGAGAACATAACACTACTAAGTATTCATGCACCTAATAACAGTGTTTCAATATATATGAGGCAAAAACTGGCAGAATGGAAAGGAAAAAATCAAGATATTCATAATTATAGATGGAAATTTCAGCATCCTTATTTCAATAATTGACAAAGAAGTACACAGAAAATCAGTAAGAATGCAGACGGCTTGAACTCTGTGAACCAACTAATTCCAACTAATTCCAAATAGGACACTTTAGCCAATAGTAGCAGAATACACGTTCTTTTTAAGTGTACATGGAACATTTACCAAGATAGAGCATGTTCTGGCCATAAGGAAGTCTCAATACATTTAAAATGAAACATACAAAGAATGTTCACTGACAACAATGGAATCTAAGAAACCAGTAATAGAGAAATAGCTAGAATATTCCTAAATATTGGAAAACAAAACAACATGCTTCTAAATAATCCACGGGTCAAAGGAGGAACCAAAAGGGAAAATTTTAACTGAAGGAAGTGATAATACAAAATTTCAAAATTTGCAGAATGAAGCTAACGTAGTGCTTTGATGAAAATGTATAGAATTAAATGCTTATGTTAAGAAGATAGGTCTCAAATCAATAACCTAAGCTTTCATTTTAAGAAACTAGAGAAAGAAAAGCAACTTAAGCCTAAAGTAAACAGAAAAAAGGAAATACTAAAGATTGGAGTGGAAATCAAATAAATAGAAAATTAATAGAGAAAATCAATGAAGCCTAAATTTGTTTCCTGAGAGATTAAAATTCTTTGGTGGACTCCCTTGCTCATAAGATAAAGTCTAACATCTTGAGTTTGGGTTTATGTTCTGGCCTGGTTTAGCTTCTACCTATCTGTTTGACTTGATTTCTTTTTTTGTTTTCTCTGCTGTGGTTACTCTGGCTTTTCAAATCTTCTGTTGTCCTCTCTACCAGCAGATGACTTTTGCGTATGTTTCCTCTGTTTGGCCCTCCTCCAACTGTCTCAATATCTTTGCTTTCCACCCATTTCTATCTAGTTAATGCCTACTCGTCCTTTAGATTTAAGTTTGATATCCTAGTCTGAGACATATCCTACTCTAACCTGTAAACTCCATTAGGACAGACTGTATGTTTTGTTCAATATGTTTTATCTTTAACATTTAACACACACCCGCTTCCTGGTGGATTCTCAGCAATTATTTGTTGTATGAATGAATTCTAATGATGGATCTGTTTTCTTAGGATATGAACAGTTCAAACATGACTCTTTTTCTGCACCTCACGAATCAATAGCCTGAGGATTGGATGATTATTTTCTTGGCCTTATGGGAATTAAGAGAGTATTTAGAGATTTCACCATCTTTCTCCTCCTGCCACTTATACTTCACTTGTTCTTCTGTTTCTCTGTGAAGATCTGCTGAAGAGTCAAGTTCATTTTGTTGTCTGATACATTACTCTAATGCAGGAAAGTTTCCTCATTAAGGCTACTGTTTGGTTTGTTTCACTGTGGCACCCATATCAAAAAAAGAAACGTGGCACAACTTGTGCCAAATAAACTAGTAAAAAAAAAAAAGGTTAATCAGAGGAATTTAAAAATATTCCACATGCAGATACTTGACTTTGTAGTTTAAAGCTATATCAATCACTAAAAAGTGAAATCATATCTCAACATTCTAAGTTCAAGAATTACACAAAAAGATAATAGCACTTCTGCTGATTTAATTTTTGTATCTGAGACATTGGCTTTATTACATGTTAGATTTTTTTAATTCCTCAAAACAACCCTATGATGTAGTCATTAGTACCATTTTACAGACAAACTTTTGGTGATTTGCTCAAAGCCCCAGAATTCAAACCTAATTCTGATATCAAAATCCATCATTTACCCACTGCTGCCTGCACTGAAAAATGTAAACTAGTATTAAAAAATTTTGCCATCCTAAGGATTAAATATTTAGGTCCTAATGGCACATTAGTTAACAATGGCCACTAATTATTTCAGTTTGTCTGACTATGACACAATCAGTTCAATGGTTTCTTCAAGCTAAAATTGTGATCAACTATTCACAGATAGCACCCTAGTAAGAAAAAGAAGGCAGAGGTAAGATTTTTGTCTAACATCAACTTAATTATGTAAAAGGCTAATTTCCTATAACATAAATCATATGAAAACAGAGCAGTGGGAACTTAACATAAAATGAGTTATTAAAAAATATTTTCATTAAATGTAAAATATGCCCACTAGCATTTAATAGTTCAGTCATCAGTTATAAACACTGAAAAAGTAAGTGGTTAGCTGAAGAGTAAAGTTCTGGTTTAAGGGTTAAACTTAAGTATTACATTCAGTGAGATAACCTGTTGATATAGAAGTTGGAAGAGGTAGAGAAGTCCAGAAGATAAATTTCAGCTTGTTGCTGGAGCTATGAATTGCACCATTTTATTCTTTAGCAGGTAGAAAGTTATGTGAAAGAATCTCTGGTGTCATAATTTCTGGGCATCGCTGGGACATTTGATCATCATTCCTTTGGCAGAGATGTTATTATCAGAGGAGAACCTCAGGGTCCAGGGAACAGAATAGAAAGGACAGTACAAGATGTATTCTTCCTTTCTCGATAGTTGTTATTCCTGTCATTTGGGAATTTCAAGGCTCTGTTGAAGAAACAGGAAAGAAGTGGTCTAGGTGTTAGAGGTGTAAACAATCCTACACAGAAAGAGCATAGAGAAATTTGTAAAAGGCGTAGTCTGAGGCTGTTGGTGTGAGATGAAGATATAGGTAGATTGGATTTGTAGTAGTTAAGGGAAAGTCTGGAAGAAGGGCAGTGAGGAAAATGTGATATGAAGTGAGAAGAATCTCATACAATTTTGTGCAGACTAATCAGACTGTAGTTCTAGAATAGGTATAGATATATTCATTCACAGATTAAAACGTTGTATATTGTTGGAAAATAAACAAGTCAGTGACAAGAAGAATAAACCCCTCAAACTTTAGAGGTGTAATTTTTAGCTAAGTTTCAGCTTGTTGCTGGAGCTATGAATTGTGCCATTTTATTCTTTAGCAGGTAGGAAATTATGTGAAAGAATCTTCTGATGTCATAATTTCTGGGTGTCACTGGAACATTTGATCATCATTCCTTTGGCAATTCCAGTCTTCTATGGAAGGTCAGTAGAAGCAATTGATTTATTCATCTCTACAGGAATCAGACTCAGCCTATTTTGGTAAGTCTATATATTCTTGATCAAGTTAGCTAAACTTAATATCTACATAAGATAGATAGTTTTACTAAATCATAGGTTTTTTTTTTTTTTTTAGCTGAGCCATCCTGCCACCTGTTGGCAGCTCAGCGGCAGCTCAGGTAGGGCCGGGAATCGAACTGGTGACCCTCTTGCTCAGAGTTCTTAACCAACTGAGCCACTTGGCTGGCCCTAAAACATAGGTTTTACTAACTTGTCATTGAGCATAACAATTTTTCCCTTGATAGTTGACACAGTCTACAAAAACCATTACTTAATATTCACATTTCTAAACTTTAATAATTTAGTTTTACTATTCCCACAATAAATGTTTACTTATTAGGAATAGAATACTGAACCAAGCGTGAGAAACAGATATATGACATTTGTCATTTTTGTTCTTTGTTGAAGACATGAAAACTCATACAAGATAGAGTTATTAATGGCCCACTGTGTGTCCGGCACTATTGTAGGTATTAAGGAGTCAGTGAGTGGTGACAAAGACAGACATGGAATGAGGTGGGGTCACAATGTTAAAAACATTTACAAAAAAATTAGGGCTCTGGCTCTCAGCAGGAGGCAATTCCCCCCCGCCCCCGTCCTCCACCAGGGGACATTTGGCAATGTCTGGAGACATTTTTGACTCTCACAACTTTTGGGAGGGGTGCCATTGGCATGTAGTGGCGGAGGCCTTGGATGCTGCAAAACATCCTATAACACACAGGACGGTCTTCTCCCTCCTCAACACAAAATTATCTGGCTCCAAAGTCATTACTGTCGTGGTTAAGAAATCCTGAATTAGAGTGATGATAATTGTTACAAAGACGAAATAAAGAGTGCTACGAAAACTTACATAATGAGGGGGTGGGGGTTATGTAAGGCTCCTCTGAGAAAGTGAAATATAAATCCAGACTTAATGAATGAGTTGGCTCTAACAAAGGATGGGAGCAATGGGGTGGGGTGACAGAGGTGACAGTAGGTAGTAAGGAGCTTGTTTTTGTAGCTCTGTGTGTGTGTATGTTTGTGTTTGTGTTTGTATGTGTATCATATGTCTCCTATACATATTTTACATTATATATGTGTAAATGCTCAGTAGTATCTGCTGAATAATAATAGCATTTATTGAGCACTAAATATGTGTTAGATACTGTACTTTACATGTATTGTCTTATTTAATCCTCACTACTAACCTGGAAGTAGATACTATTATTCCCAATTTATCCTTGAGAAACATACTTGGTTAAGTATCTTGCCTAAGATCATGTAGTCAACCCACCACTCCCTACACACTTTCTTAACTAATGCACTGTGAAAGTAGAGAGGAACGGGGGAATAAATGATAACCAGGAACAGAAGGGTTAGATGAAGATATCATGGTGGGTCTGAAACTCAGCTGTACTTCAAAGGAAGAGAAGGGCTTAGATAGGCAGAGGCAGTGGGAGGTGGGAGTAGGGGCATAAGATTGTTGATTGCAACATCCATTTAAAGGAAAACTGATTTTGTTTTATTCCACACATCAGACATGGACTTCAGTTATGTTAACCATACGGCACAGTTTACTTTTATCATCTGGTGGCTATTTTGTATTTTTATAATATAGTATTAACATTGTAACATTTTTATAATATAGTATTAACATTGTACAATATAGTATTTATACACTTTTATAGATATTTAAAAATACCTGTTTCACAATGTTTGTATATACCTGTAACAATATAATAGTAGCATTAAAAGTTCCAAACAACTATTCAAAGACAACTCACTCCCTCTCCATTATTATAACTTCCTAACCTAGGTTTTCAGTGAATTATGCCTTTTCAGTTTGGGACCCAGCCACAGAGGTTTCCAGTGGAAGGAGGAGATTCTTCAACTGGGCTGGAACCTGGGCTGAGCTCCAGGGCTACCTGTAATGGGAAGGAGATGTTACCAGCCAGGTAATGTGTCCTTATCCTGACAGCTGAGGAAATGTGTAACGGCTGTCACAAGCTTCGGCTGAGGTTCATTTTAGTAAGAAAAATGCCCAGGAATGTTGCTGTTATTAAATTAGTATTAACAAATGTTGCTATTATTAAATTAGTATGGACAGATCCCAGGTTTTTTCAGCATAGAGTCTGTATTTTATACCTCTATGAGTCTTAATGATAGGCCAATTCTTTCTGTTTTTCTCCCTTTCTCCTTCCCTCCTTCCCTCCCTTCCTCCCCTCCTTTCTTCCTCTCTTCCTCCTATCCTCCCTCCCTCCCTCCCTCCCTTCCTCCCTTCTTCCTTTCTTCCTTTTTTGGTAAATTTTAGGTTTTTGTTTTTTTTTCTGAAACTTTCAAGATTAGATAACCATTAATTTAAAAAGCCAGCCTGTAGTGCTGTCATGTTCAGGGAACTGTGCTGGGCATAAGGCTACAAACATGAAAAAGACTCAGACCTCAGGTTTAGTGGAACTTTGGCTATGATTTGACCTTTGGCAAATCATTCTCAAAAAGAATAAGAGCAATGTAGAGTATGAAGATTCTATGAAACAAAATAATTTATGCAAAATTAAAGAAAACTATTTTAAAAATCAGAGTTATTCAAGGATGGAACAGGCTACTTTGGAAAGTACTGAGCACTTGTCTTTAGAAATGTTTAAGGCTGGGTGATTATTTGGTGGGAATGTTAGAAAGGAAATTCAAGCACTAGATGTATTTTTGGACTAGATGTTATTTAAGGGCTTTTAAAACCTGAGATTCTCTCAACATTTGAACAGTATGTGGAATAGTATGTTCAGTTTTATATTTTTCCACAAATATTCGTTTTTAAATCAACTCAACTGAAGTGATTTTAAGGTGCATATACATATGAATTGCCATAGTATTATCACTTATGTTTACAACTATGCACCCCTTCCCTTGACATTTAGTAATCACTGCATACCTTTCAGAATCAACATCTGGAAGGTTGTTTTTGTATTCATGAATTTCCTGTCATTAAATGTATGGCAACAAATCACAATTTCTTTGCAACGTAAGTTTAAAATGCCTGCCTAATCATTGCCACTGTGTTATAATTACTTTATGATTTTTAAAGATTTCAAAATGATTTAAAACAGTTGACTATGCACTCACACTTCTGTGCTCTGAAAAGTTCCCTTTTTAGTCTCTAACTACATGTCCTTTGCTCTTTTATTCAGGCAACTCCGAAGATGCCCTGGAAGCCATTGCCTGACAATAACTGATGTTCCCATCACTGTCTATGCAACAATGCGAAAGCCACCTGCACAAAGCAGCAAGGAAATGCATCCTAAATAGCATCATTAAGTCTTTCGTAGAGGTTTGACTAGGTCAACGGTAGTGGGGCAGTATCATCTCATGATCTGGTAAACAAATAAATAAAAGTGGTGGCACCTTTGGATGATGACAACTGTTGAAATATTTACTTTTAGTAGGAAAAGATTGAATTATAGTCTATAAAACATGTAGTGATTAAGCCGTCAGTTATTTATTTATATATTATTTATTTATTTTTATTTTTTAGTTTCTTAGTTTCAGGTGTACAAAGCAACATAATAGTTTGACATTTAACCCTTCATAAAGTGATAACCACCACTCAAGCTACTATCCCTCTGACGTCTTATATAGCTGTTACAATACCATCGACTATCTTCCCTATGTTGTACTCCACATCCCGTGACTACATATACCTATATATCTAGTTATAGTTGACATTCAATATTATTCTACTTCAGCTTCAGATGTATAGCACATTGGTCAGACATCTACACAGTATATGACATGATCCCCCTGATAAGTCCAGTGATAAGTCCATCTGGCACCTTGCATGATCTTTACAACATTGTTGATTATATTCCCCATACTGTATTAACTATCAATTTATATTTCTTAGTGCCTTCATTTTTTCACCGTGCCCCCATACATATTCCCATCTATCACCCTGGTAGATCTAGTACCTATCTGGCACCATACCTAGTTATTACATTATTATTGACTATATTCCTTACCTTATGCTATACCCTAAATCCCCATGACTACTGTATAACTACCAATTTGTACTTCTTAATCCCTTCCCCTTTCACCCATCCTTAACCCCCCTCCCATCTTAAAGAAGTCCCTCTAAGAGTCCTGTAGTATTGGTTTGGTGGTGATGAACTCCTTCAGCTTTTTCTTGGCCGGGAAGCTCCTTATCGGTCCTTCAATTTTAAATGACAGCCTGGCTGGGCAGAGCAACCTTGGTTGTATGTCATTGCTTTTCATCGCTTGGAATATTTCCTGCCACTCCCTTCTGACTTGCCAAGTTTCTGTTGAGAAATCAGCTGCCAGTCTTATGGGGGCTCCCTTGTAGGTAACTAACTGCTTTTCTCTTGCTGCTTTTAAGATTCTCTGTTTGTATTTAACCTTTTGCATTTTAATTATGATGTGCTTGGTGTTGGCCTCTTTGGATTTATCTTGTTTAGGACTCTCTGTGCTTCCTGGGCTTGTGTGTCCATTTCCTTCACCAGGTTAGGGAAGTTTTCTGTCATTATTTCTTCAAATAGGTTTTCAATTCCTTGCTTTCTCTCTTCTTCTGGGACCCCTGTATTGCAAATGTTGGTACTCTTGATATTGTCCTGGAGGCCCCTTAAACTCTCCTCAGTTTTTTGGATTCTTTTTTCTTTTTGCTGTTCTGGTTGGATGTTTTCTACTATCTTATCTTCTGCATCACTGGTTGGATCCACTGCTTCATCTAATTTGTTGATTCGCTGTAATATATTCTTCATTTCCATTATTGTATCCTTTATTTCTGACTGGTTCTATTTTATGGTTTCCATCTCCATTTTTATGAGATCATTGAGAATTATAACCAGTGTTTGGAACTCTGCATCTGATAGATTACTCATCTCTGTTTCACAGTTCTTTTTCTGGAGCTTTGTTCTGTTCTTTCATTTGGGACATGTGTCTTTGTCTCTCATTTTGGCTGCCTCCCTGTGTTTGTTTCTATGTATTAGGTAGAACTGCTCTGTCTTCCACTCTTAGTAGAATGGCCTTATGTAGTAGGTGTGCTGTGGGGTTCAGTGGTGCAGTCTTTCCGGTCACCTGAGCCATGTGCTCCATGTGTGTCCCTTGTGTGGATTGTGTGTGCCCTCTTCTTGTAGTTGAGTCTTGGTTGATAATTGCACATCAGTGGGAGGGACTGACCCTTGGGCTCACTGGTTGTGAGGAGTGGCCTTGACTACAGTGGGAGAGTTGTTGTGCAGGGGCTGATCCTACAGAGCAGGATCTGCCTCAGCAGGACTCTGGTGTCTGCCCAATCCGCCCCTTGGGTGTGTCACACTTGGAGGCAGCTGGGTGATGCTCCAGTTCGTTTTGAAGCTGGTCACTGGGGGCGCCAGCCCCAGGACTACCTTGGAGGGGACCCACTGTAGGTCTACTTCAGCCACAGTCCTTCTGGGACACCTAGCAGGATCCAGAAAGCAATCTGCAGATATATGCTGCCCATGACGTGCTTGGAAGTGCTTTGAGAGGCCAAGATGCGAACCAAGGCCGGCTGCCAGCTTAGGGCTGCTCAGCCAGAGGTACAGGACATGTTCAAACCAGATGCTGCTTGTCTGGGTTCCGCGAACCTTTGAGAGATCCTAGGAAAGTGCAGCTTGAGCCAAGGCAGGTGGTCTGCATGAAAAAGCCAAAAAGCAGCCTGGGTGTGCCCGAAAGTTGGGTGGGGCCAGGCCTCAAATTGCCAGGGCAGGGTGAACGAATGGCGGAGACTCAGAAATGGCGGCCACCTGTGTTCACACGCTGGGAAGGGGGAGGGCTCAACAAAGTAACAATGGCCTTCCCAGCTCCTCTGTCCAGGAGAGAGTCACCCCTCCAGCCCCTGTCCCAAGCCAGATAACTCAGTTCCCCACCATTTGTCCCTGCTGCCTTTGCAGCTGCTGCCCCAGCTCTGGAGCTCAGAACAAGTGATTCCATTGGTGGGTAAGTCAGTGCGCCGTCCCTTTAAGAGGAGCACCTGTGAGTGTAGCCACACTCAGTCTCACTCAGTCACAATCTCCGCTGGTTTTAACAACAAAAAATTATGGGGACTTCTATCCCTGGCACTGGAATCCTGGGCTGGGGTGAGGCTGGTATCTCTCACTCCTTTAGGGGATGGGGAGACCTCCACAGCCGAAATAGCCCTCCCTATCTTTAATGGTCACGTGGATGTGGGACCAGTCTGTGCTGTGTCTCTGACCTTCTTACCAGTCTGGAGGTGGCTTCTCCTGCACGTCCTTATTTGAAAGGCTTCAGTTCAAGTTGATTTTAGGTGATTCTCAATAATGATTGTTTTTGTACATTAGTTGTAATTTTGATGTGGTTGTGAGAGAAGGTGAACACAGCATTTACCTACTGTGCCATCTTGAAAGTTTTATTACTGTGTAATTACATGGATATAGATGCATGCGTACTACATGAAGTGAAAAAGAAAAACTTCTAGGAATTTATAAATGGAAAAATTCTGAGTTTTATATATCATATTATATAATAATAATATATAATAATACATGTATAAACTGGAAAAATTCACATGGTGCTGGGAGGTGTTGGAATTCCAATAAACCAGAATGTGAAGACCTTGTTAAACATGTAGGCATTGAGTAAAGAGACCTCAGAAAAGTCTTGCTTTAGTAGGAAGTCTAAACTAGCACTAGACTAAAGCTAACGTACAACGACTTTATTAAAGCTTAAAAATAAAATTTGAGAGAATCAAGGTGATCTCTAATGAACTTATCTGCCAAATAAAAGTGGAATATTCCTTAAAGGAAGAGAACAAAATCCAGAAAGGAAATTGCTCAAGCCTGGGGAAAGAATAACAGGACAGAGGAAAGGAGTGATTAAAAATTTCTCAGAGCTCATACAAGGCTGGGAATAATTTATGTTTTAACCATAGTGGAAAGACCTTTAATACATGGAGCATTGAGTAGAGTTTTCAGCAAGATATTATTTCAGTGGGGGTGGTTGTGGGGTGCAGGGATAGGAATAGCTTTAGACTGAAGGTGGCTCTGTGTCTGCATTAACAAAGCTTAAGAGTGAAACTTGAAAGGACCAAACTATTTCCAAGTAACTGACTTGCATCCAAGGGAGGGAAACAAAATAAAACTCAAAATTTAAAGAACTACAATAAAGTACATCACCAAAAATGTGAAATTCACAATGATCAACATCCAATAAAAATTACCATGCATGCAAATAAAAGAAGGAATATATAATTCATAGTTTAGAGAATCTGTCAGTAGAAACAGACTCAGAATGACAGATGATAGCATCAGCAGACAAGCTACTACAAGTATTCCAGTAGTACATGAAAGCATCATCATTATGAGGAGAAAAATGGAAGGTATAAAAAGGACCCAGGTTGAACTTCTAGAAATGAAAAATACAATACCTGAAATAAAAATATGAACTGAATTGAATTAAGAACAGATTAGATACTGGAGAAGAAAAGATTAATGAACTTGAAGACATAAATTATATAAGTTATCCAAAATGAAATACAAAAAAAAAAGGGCTGAAAAGATATATAAATTTTATATTTCAGCATGAAGTAGTCTAACATATATGTAAGTGGCTTTGCAGAAGGAGGAAGACAGAAAAAATATTTAAAGAAATAATGGCCATATTTGTTTCCATATTTGATGAAAGCTATAAACTCACAGATCCAAGTAGCTTAACTAACACCAAGAAGAAACATGAAGAAAACAAAAATTCAATTGTCTGAAATGAAACTAAATATATAAGTAAATTTTCTGAAAACCAGGGATAAAGAGACAATCTTAAAACCTGACAGAGAAAAATGACACATTCAGAGGAACAAAAATAAAGATAAAAGGATCATAACAATCATAAATATTTATGCAGAGCTTTGAAGTAAATGAATCAAAACCGATGAAATTGAAAAGAACTCCACATTTATAGTTGGAAATTTCAACATCTTTCAACATCTAGTAGAAGAATGACAATGCAGCAGAATACTGTACATTTTTTTCAACTACATGTGGAAAATTTACCAAGAATAGACTATATGTAAGGAACAAAACAAGTCCCAATAAATTGAAAAGCAGGAAAAGTGTGCAGAGTATGCAAAGTATGTTCCACAACAGAATTAAATTAGAAATTAGTAGCAGAAAAATAACTGGAGACTCCAAATATCAGGATACCAAATGATGCACTTCCATATAACCCATAAATAAAAGAAGAAATGACAGAAGAAATTAGAAAATATTTTGAACTGAGTGAAAATGAAAACACAATTTACCAAACATGAGGTGCAGTTTCATAGTGCATGGAGAGAAGAAAGCATTAAGTTTTTTTTTCACTAGAAAGAAAGAAACATTTCAAGTCAATGATCTAAGCTTACACCTTAAAAAAGCAGGAATGATGAAG